GAGAAAGTGTTAAAAGTATGCAATTTTGTATCTGCAAGAAACATGTAAAGAGAAAAGAGGGAATAAAATAATTTTATTAATTTTTTAACATAATAGTAAATATAAGCCATTGATAGGAGGTCTGAGTACCAAAGATAACCCTTTAGATTTATTGTTCAGTTTACAGTAAATCAAGTTTCAGTTGCATCACTTTAAATTTAGAACTATTTGGTTTGAAATTATCCTTTCCACAATGGATAGGTTAGATGAATTAGTTTTCTGTTGATATTCATGGTGTTCAAAAATTCCATATCTTCTGCTCTCAGATTAAAATCAAAAACCTGGTTTGGAGAAAAAGAGTGATTAGCATTCTCTAATTTAGAGAATCTGTTTTAATTCTAAGTACTGAATATTAATAAATTTAATATTAATATAATGGATCATTATTTTTAAATGCTATTTTAACAACTCTGACATATTTGTTTTTTGTAAGGATTTGTATTCTATTTTTAGATCAATAAGCTGAAGGAGTTCAGAAAGTGACTTGACATAGTTTTACTGGAAATCATTGCTCCCAAAACCATACGCAACTTTAATGTAGCTAACCATGATACATCATCTTTGGTATGTATTAAAATATAGCAGAAGTTCCATAGTGATGAAACTGTATAAGCCAGCATTATCAAAAGTGTATGAGAAACCTTTCTGAAAAGTAACTTTTTATTCCAGTTATACAGAGCAGACAATGAAAGTCCTACTGTACTTTTTCTGTTAGGAAAAACTAAAGACATGAATGGACACGGTAACTGATCTCAACACACTATTCTGCAGTAACAGCAGTCTTGGCTGAAAAATCTGCCATTATTTGGCAGATCACAGATATTACTTATCTGTAATACCGCGGGAAAAAATAGTAAAATTATCATTTCCTGAAAAACAAAACAAAACCTGTGATAATCTTCCAGACTAATCAAACGTAGTTACATCTTGATTATAATGCATTTCTGATAATCATGCAAAATCTCACAAATCATGGGATAAAAAATAAACACTTGATGTTTCATTAATATAAACAGTTCATTATTATTATTATTATTTTACACCAGGGAAGTCAATCTATACCATAGTATATGACCTTCACAGCTATACTTCATGGATTAATCTTTCATCACCCTTAAACTGCACCCAAATCAAGTGATGTACCTTAAATCCAACTTGGCAACAATATACTTATTCCTTTACTGGGATGAATCCAAGTAACAGGGAACCATTAAGAAAGAATGAGTTCACAGAGAAAAGAAAACAAACAACAACAACAACAACATCTCTACTCTTCTTGTTACCATGAAATTGTAAAAGTACTAGTAGCCCCACCCCACATTTCACAGCCAAGTTATGAATTTAACACCAGTTCATTATATTGGAACTGGGAAGCCTCAGCTAGAAAGCCATGGAAATCTGCTTTGCTGGAGGGAAATAAAAAATAATAAATAAATAAATAAAAGGAGCAGCCATTAATGGGATTAATGGGATGATATCCTGCCAAGATACACTCCTGCATTTCCCTTTAGTAGTTCAGCCTCGGACTTGCTTCTTAAAGGGGACTGGCTAGCAGAGCCTTTAGTAAGATTATAAATGATTCCTCTTGGGCACAGCTGCCTTTACTACAAAAGCCTGACGCAGGGAACCACTCTCTCATGCAAAAAACATGTTACAGCCAAGAAAGCAGGGAAGCTGTTTACATGGGTGACTGAGATCTGGTACAAATGAATCTGTGCAAGGTTGCTTAGACAAGTACATCCCACAACGTTGGCCAGGTCTAACAGAGTTAACAGAGCGATATAGGTTATACCACTGGGAAGCAGCATCAACATCATTGATTCAAATTAATCTCAGGCTTTGTGCTCCTTTTGATTTCAGTGGGTAATGACTAGTTTTGGAGATAGTTCTCATGCTTTGGTCCCTTGGAAACTCATAACTATCCTATAATGCTCCGGGAGCTGTAGTTAAGTCTGTGTGATGCTGCAGATGGACAAATGACCACTGAATAAAGACAAACTGTAAGGCTGCAACATATATATCATAAATATTATATAGGCTCACTACAAATACTTCAAATTCTCTTTCAAAAGTGCAGACATTTTAAGGGAGATTGCCAGAAGTGCCAAAGATTAAGTACAAAAAAGACTCCTAGCACAGCAACAGAAATAATTGCCAGAAGGCTGGCTCATCTTTTATATTTACCTAATGCACTATAGCCATAGCTGTGTTCCTCAGAGCTTCCAGGCTTTGGAAGAGGTGTGCTAACATGGGGAGAGTTAACTGCTTAGCTTCAGTTTGTGGCAGCGAGTGCAACTCCATCTTAGTCTTCACTTTTGAAAACATGCTGCTAATGTCACCTTTCGTGTGAAAATATTTCTGCACTGCTATTTTAAAAGAAAATCAGCTGGTGTTAACCACGGTGCAAAAAGAGGGGTAGATATATTTCAGTCTGCTTGGCTTAGAGGGTTTGTGAACTTACTACTACTATAGTTTCCTTATCACATATACTGGTTGGAAAAATAAAATACTTGTCTTCAAATTTACATAAGGGGAACAAATACCGTAGAAACTTCTGCAGCTCAATAAAAAAATTCGTCAGGCATGCTCTTCACAAAACCATTGCCATTATTTCTCAATTAAAGGTTCTTAGGTGCCTTTATTGCCAATAAAATAAAAGACAAAATTCATAAATATGCAAAAAAAAAGGAGAGGAAAATGCTCAGAATCAGACAGGAAGCTACTTGGCTGCACAGAAAGTGGCCTCGCCCTTCCCACTGACTGTTTATTTTTCTTCCTTTCCTTATTTGTTTCAAAAGATTTCCATTCCATTAACAATCAGTGCTCCTGCAAAGAGAGATGACTGCACTTAGGTGGATAATACTGACAAAACTCTTATTTTAAATAAGATAAAATTTATCTTAACTAGAGAGGGGTGCCCTCATGACCATAAATAACTTACATAACATGGAGGAAAAAGTGCCTTAGACTTTCAGTAGCAGTTCCTAGTCCTATCGGCAAGATGATGGTTACAATGATAAAATGCATATATTGCTATATCTTAACAAGTGTAATTGCAGAAAGGTATAAAAGTTTTCTCTTTAGAGAAAGCTTGTATTATGCAAGTAAGGACAGGAGGAGGAGTTTCAGCCCTGGGAAAGAACGTGCACTGTATCTTTCAAAGATTCACTTGAGATGAAATCCTGAGTTAAAAAAGAAAGTCTTAAAAATGAGCACCTCCAGGGAACTGATCAAAGAGGAAATTAAGAATGGAGTTAAACTTCCCGGTTTCGTATGTTCAGCACTTCTACATGCCTTTGGTCTTCTAGGTTCTCCTTCTATTACAGGACATCACTGTTCACTGCAACCCTAAATCTCATTGACTTTCATCACTTTCCAATTGCTTATTAGTTGTATTACTTCCTTGAAATTTTGATCAAATTTGTTGTACTTTAGAAATGTTGGTTTAGAAGACTTTATGTGGGCTTATCATTCTGCAGTAGCCTTTATTTAAAAAGAAAACTATCTTCCACATTTGTAACATCAATTTAGTTGTAGAGAGGAGTTTAAAATATGAATCCATTGAGTTAGTCTTTCCCTGTGCAACCTGATCAAAACCTAAAGAGGATTTGGAAGGCTTCTAAATTAACTAGCACAATTGTGAAAGCTGTAATTCAAAGGAAAGCAAGCCACATTGATAAGATGCATTATATTCCAAGCAGGCAGGAGATAGCAGGATTCCAGTCTCTCGAGGGAGCTGCAGCTTCTAGCAGAAAACAATGCTGGTGATTAGTGATGGCACAATGTGTAAAACAGCACAGCACACCTGGGAGAAAGATAACGTGGGTGGGCTGAGTCTTAGCAATTAAAAAGCTCATATTAGCTCAAAATACACTTGACTTTGTACATAGTTACTACTTAAAATTTAACTCTTACGTCCATATATTGGAAATATGGAATATTTCCATAATTCTAAAGCCACTACCAAGTAGCAAAGGAACTGCTAGGGAAAAAATAATTAAAAAAAAAAACAAAAACAAAAACAAGCCACCCTAGAAAAAAATCCTGAAACAACAATAGTTAAGTCTGAAGGTAGTTAGAAAAGTGAGTATTGGACTAAAACTGTAACTTTCCATAACTGTTCCTTAACTAGAACTAGGCTTTTATAGCAAGTACTGTCTCTATCTGATTATTCCTTTCGTTACTCACTGCATTGCTTGGATATAATGTAGATCAGATAACATGGTGGCTTGACTTCCTAGCAAAAGCAGTTGCAAAAGCAAGAATAAAATATCTTTGACAGAGGGAATAATAAAATACGATAATGAGTTAGGAAGCCATCCTCACTGTAACCTACAGTCATCTGTATGGGGGATTAGAATGAAAATGGTTTAGTTCTGTTTAGCTCAGAACATGGGAGGCAAGTAGTCAGAAATGAGTGCAGGAAAATAAGAGCTGTTCAGGCTAATACGGGACATCCAACCATGTAGTTAATCTTAATTAATAGCGTCCTGGTAATACTAAAGCAAAAAACTTATTAGCTTACATAGAGGTCGGTCTGTTTCACTTTGTAGACATCATTTACACTTGAAAAGGGGATAGTATGTTGACATGATAACTACTTCTTTAGAGAGAACTAGAGGTAAAACTCCAACTTCTCCTCTGTAGTTTCTGAACTAGTCTTCATCTTCACTGGCAAAAAAAAACCTCACCCACTTTGGTGAACGCTGGGCAAGTGATTCACTGTGCTATGAATTCTGATACATTGTACGGAAGCAAAAGTACAATAGTATAAGCACTGTATTTTTGTCCTACTGCTAAAATCTGAGCAAACTATTACACTAGGGCATATTCCTATAAAGTGACTTTTCAGAAGAGTTAGCTGATACGCAGAGGTAGAAAGGTTTATCTGTGTGAATTCTTTCTGGTTTTCACCGAGTCTGCCGTCATTTTTTGCAAATGCTACAAAACCCTAAAAATGACCTGAATTTTATAAATATGTATTACTTTTTGGAAATATTGGACCCCACATCACACCAGTTAAGCCAGATACACTGCAACTTTTAGACACCTAAACTTGCATTCCCAGATATTGGAGCACCCCAAACTGCAGGCCACAGTTGAAAAGCTGGAAAATAACCTTTACTGTGTAGATTGCATCTCTTTCTTGGGACAGTACATTATACAGGTATTAGTGAGGGCAGCATTTCATACAACACCTTGTATTTTTAAAATGATACAACGGTTCAAATTTTTCTAGTCAAATTTTCTCTGAAATGTTTACAAATATTAACCAGCTGATTATGCTAAGGAGTTATTATCAAAAGAAAAAAAATTGTCTGTATTTTAGTCAAGTTGTATAGAAGCTCTGCTTTGAGGACAAACAATGCAGGCTAGAATACATGATTGCTGTAAGTTGTTTCTTGATAAAAAACTAAGAAACTTTGTTTCATGATATGACTAAAGCAGAACAGCACTGGGAAAACTGCCTCAGGAAGTCCACACACAATATAAATCATAGTCAGATTTTCCATACCTTTCTAGACACAGGAACTCCTAAAATATCAAACCAATGTGAGTAGAAGTCAAATACTCAGTGGATAAAAGACCCTGCAGGTATATGTCTGAAAACATATCTATAAACAATGTATGTGAGTATACGTGTGTGTGTGTGTGTGTGTGTATACATACATATATATTTATGTATATGTATATACACACACATATTTTACAATAACACCTGGGAAACAGTATATTTGTTAATGAGATTACCTGGACAAATACAAAGTGAAGGCTAAGCTAATGCTTATAAAAGCTAAACAAAACTCACCAGAATTTCAAGTAGGAGAAAAAGATTAGTAATAATGAAGATGCTGCTTTATCTGGCTCTTAGAGCTTGCTGCTCAACTGTGAAGTCATGCAATCAGCTTATTTGTAGATGGATTTCTCTGGAAGGGCTTCTACTTTGTTATGCCTACAGGCTGGTAAATAATATGCATAAAACTCTCTTGGGCAACTCAAATACTATGCAATAATATCCATAAAACTCTTTTTTGTGATGCTGTTATATATTGCTTATTACAGTGGGATCATGCTCTCACTGGAGATTTATCGGTAATAATGTAATAATAATGGTATTCATATATTTTTCTCACTCAGCTTTTCCTTCTTTGTACGTTGTAAACCTCTAACAAAGTACGGGACAACTTATTTTGTAACAACTTATTTTGTACTTAAAACCTGTATTATACACTCATTTTTTAAATATTTTTTTTTTTTAAGATGTGCTGTCTCCTCATGTTCTTTCTTAAATGACCTGATGCAAAACCAATAATATAAATAGCAGGCTTTGCATGGGCTTCAGTGAACTATGGATCAGGATTTTAGATGGAAATGTAAGATGTCTGTATGAAAGTACTATTCCCAACAATGCCTTTTGTCTGTTATCAGTGTTAAGGATTTCAAATCAGTTATCATTAATACCGGCAATTAAACTTACAATTACATTCTTATTGCAAGCTTCTCTGAATTTAAGTCACATGGGGTGACTCATTGATCTCTGACAAAGGAAAAAGCTCAAACCTTCATTCACACAATAAGGCCTGGGTCCCAGGAAACATGTCTGCCATCATGCATGCCATTTAGAATTTCAACATCATCTTCTGCTATTGCAAAATCAAACACCTATAGGAATGCATATATAGTTAACATAATGGAGAGAGAAAGAGGTAGGAGCGTTCATATTATTTAAACTCACCAAGATTCATTTAAAATTGAGACAGGATTTTTCTAATATTTTTTCCTTCTGAAAATTATTCAGATTCTTTGACATAGATAAATATCATTCTATTAAGTTGACAGGCTCCACCGGGTCATTTGCTCCTTTTGTGACTCTCATTTTCATTTGTAGATTCTGGTAGATGATTTCATAGCACTCTGGCCTCAAGCAAAGGTCCAAGAAAATGGTAATATCAGAGCAGTTTTTGACAGCACTCTGCATGGCCATTGGCAAAGTGTATGAACACCCGGACTGCAATCCCCCTGGACACAGGAGCTCCGTGTTTCTCTGTTACATTACGTTCAGTTCCTCAGAACTTCAGCCAGTCAAAGAATTATTAGAAGCATCAGGACTTTCACAAAGCTAGCAAAAAAATGGCTATATTTCTCTTTACCTTGTCTCTGCCTAGTTAGAGGAAACACTTTTGGATCAGCTACTACAGAAATAGATGGAGTGCCATAGTTCCTCAGCACTAGCTCTAACTTGAAACCTGTCTTCATGCATAGGTTCTTAGAGCCACTCAGTTCTCCTGTGGTGAGGCCTGCAACATGAATGTTAGTGCCAGTGTTTTCTTAGCAGGTGTCTTATTCAGATATTATCACTTCAAAACTGAGGTTGCTCTGAAGTCTCTGTGGAGTTTGTCAGAGCTCCTTCATACCCAACCAAAAGATCCTGTGGAGCCTGAATTGCTGCCAAGGGAGCTCCTCCCATCCCGCATTAGCCAGCGATTGCTGGCGCCAGCGATCGCTGGCTGCTAGCATGCGTGCCCCGTTGTAGTCAAACCTCAGTGCTCAGGCTTTTTAAACCTAAACCAGGGACCAGCCACTGAACTAGAAATGCTCAGCCACTGAACTAGAAATGCTATATAGTATATTATATACTCAGGGCTTAACGATGTCCATGCTTTTCCCAAACTTGACCAGAAATGGTATAGACTTAGGGCAACGTACTGGGGTGGGGGAAAAAAGAAAAAAGAAAGGGAGATGTGATAAACGACACCAGATAACTGTGCCAGTTTTTTCCCCTTCTAAGTGTTTTAGGTTTTGCCACATTGCAACCCCTCAGTTGTGCTAAACCAGCTAGTGGGGCCGCACAGTAAACTTTATAAAGCACACAGAATTTATCTGGGTGAAAATTAATCGGGCGGGGGGAGGGGGAAGGAGGGATTTTTAACTTGCATTAGTTCTCTGATCTGGTTCACAATACAGTACCACAAACAGCTGTGCCTCAACCACAGAAGGCAGTGTGGGTATCGGAATAAACAGTCAGGGTAGGAGCTATATAGCAAGCATAGCCACCAAAAGAAAAATTCATTATAGGTGTGTTAATTTACACATACACACAGTCAGTGACTAACTAGAGGTAACAAGATTCCTGTTTTCTCACAGAGTTTGTTCCTGATTTGCAAAACAGTTCATACCCCTAAAATACTTTTGGAGGTAACAATAAGGTTATTAGGGGACTTTTTCCCCACGAAAACACTCCTTCAGGTTAGAGAAATGGAGAGAAGGAAGAAGGAATTAAAGACATTTGGTGTAAAATGGAAAAAAAAAAAAATGGGGAGGAGGAATGCTGCCAATCCCCTTTCCTTTCCCACTTCTACTTTGTCCCTCACCTGCACACTGGGACCTCCCTGCAAGTCAGTGGGAAGGCAGCAGGGGAAGAGTCAGCTCTGCCAGTCCTGTGACTTCCTTAAAAGGTCTCCCGGGGTACCCTCACAGAGTTTTACAGCTTCGATACAGCGTCTCTGTGCTTTGCCTAGCATGCAAACAAATTCCTTCCTTTTGACGCTTGTGTGCCTATCACAAAGGACCTATCTACAACTGGAATATGTTGTTCTATCATCATCCAAGTAATAAATATTATTAATACAAATCAACTATGAAAGCTTTCTTTATGGATACCTTTTTCATCCATAGTAATTAAAATCTCATTTGATTTCTGAGATTTGTGGATTATGGTATTCTACTATACTGCAGTAATTTTATGCTACTACAATTTGCCAAATTTAACCAACTTGCCTGATGTAAAACTGGCATAGGAAAATGGGCAGGCATACCGAAGTATTAAAAACAACAGTAATTCTGATATTACTCAGACTTGAGCGTGTAACCAAAACTTACCTTGCAGTTTTCCTGTATCCTTTCTGCTCTTATGGACTTTGGAACAGTCACAATCCCATTCTGAAAAACACCTCATCATTAAAGCTTATAGATGTTTCAAGTAAAATAATCTCATTTTCAAAATACATCAATACATTCCTCAAGCCTTCTGAGGTTTTCATTTTACTTTTCAGATGTCAATGACATTTCTATATGCAATTATTTGTAATTGCAGTTACACACACTGCATTAAATTCCAAGACTGATTACATGGTTTACATCAACTCAGTACACTATTTCCCTGCTTACTGCTTTTTGTTGAGCTACAGAAAGGGAACGATGCCACACACTGATTGCAACATTTAGTTGGAAAACATCTCTTTTATCAGTAGTTCCTTTTATTTTCTACAATCAGATTCTTCACATCTGTAAAATACTGCCATGTTTGGTGTACTACATTCCAAGCTTTCAGTAGAGCACAGTTTGTTCATGGGACATCTGCATATTAAAGGCAACAATCCTTTCTGTATAAGTTTTGGGTTGATGTACAGAAAACAAATTATTTAGATTTTTTTTTCCAAGAGGGGAGTTAGGTTTTTACTGCCATTACCTGTATACTCCAGCGTATGCAAATCTGTGCTGGAGTTCTGCCATATTTCTTTGCCAGGTGAATGACAGTAGGATGAATGAGCGCTTCACCTTTGGCTAAAGGACAATAGCCTTCGAAAATAATATTTCTGCTCCTACAATAATCCACCAGCTCCTGAGGTCTTTGGAAAGGGTGGTATTCAACCTTAGATAAATAGGAAGAAATCATTAATAAAAACCTTGACAGTACATTTAGGATAAAATGTTACCATTAATAAATAAAAAATTTTTTGCCCCGTCTTCTTAAAAATACATGAATGAAATCACTACTGCTCAGATACTTAGGTAAGCTATTAATTTTAGAAGACATGTGGAAGGTAACAATCCACAAACATTTTGTCATTAACTTACATAAAAATTTGCTACATGTTTTATGCTTCCCTCAAGGAAGAGGCTGCATGGAGCAGCTGTTTTCTCCCTCTGCAGTTGGATTTCCCCTCCTGTTCAAAGGCAATGAAGACTGCGTGGTGTTCGAGGAATATAGGTAAATACATAGTGGAAGTCAGTCTCAAGTCATTTTTATTGGTGATTTGAGGCTACCTTATCTTCCCTAAATACTTCCTTTCCCATTTGTTGATCTTCTGAGTTGTAAAGGCTTGTGTGTGTATGCACGCGGGTGGGTGTGTGTATGCACATGCATGCGTGCAACAGACTGACCAAAACAATTTGTCCAGGACTGGGGCATGACCTCTGTTTGGAATGGACGCACAGAAAATCCTGTATCCTGGGTCTGCCTGGTGTCACAGCCGACACGCAGCAGGAGTGGCGGCAGCTGTGGAAGGAGGTGTGCAGGAGACCCTTGGTAGGGAGGAAGACCGTGAGTTGCCAAGAACCAGTTGAGAGAGAAAAAGTAACAACATACAAAGACAGGGTTGTATGAAGCAAAAGAAAACAAAGGTTATTGGAAAATAAAGGGGGGAGGGGGAGAGGGATTTCAAAAGAGCCAAGCAGCCTGGCATTTAGCCAAACCAAAATTGAACCTTTTCAATATTCCTTATCATGTTATTTTAAAAAATATTTCACAGAGTGTACACTGTAGGAAACATACCTTCCTCTGCACTCAGACGAAAGTGAATGGTGCTTTCTTTTATAAAATAAAACACAATCATGTGATGCGGCTTTAGCTCAACCAATGCTCCAGTGATCTAACTCCTGCGCATTTTGAAGAAAAATACTCTTGAACAATTACCTCAACACATGGAATCTGGAAATTTTCTTCTACCATAAAAGGGACAAATGAACATTTCCTGTTTCTCATCTTTAGTACATGTTGTCTTTTCAGACAACAATAGCCAGGAACAATAGGCTGGCACTCATTCAATATACGCTGAGAAAAAACCCTGCCCCTCGAAGGCTGGGCTGAGTCAGCCTAAAGCTGCTATGATCTAAATTACTAGGTGGACTCGGGACCAAGGTTCAGGCAGCAGACACATCCATGTCTTCAACCTTTGATGTTTCTTGACCTTTGAGTGGCCTTCGCCTTTCATGTTTCTATTTGTAAGACCAGCGTTTAGGTCATACATTTATTCACTTTTTGCACCCAAGTCGACTAGAAAATATTCTAATTGAGTGTTATGCAAAACAGTGAGGAAAAGAAAGAGTGAGCAAGCAGTTCCTTTTAAAATATTGATTAACCAAATCCAACGCAAGTCTAATGTACTTGCTCCTTACCAGACTATTCTATGACAAAACTGAGTATTTCAGAGAAACAACAAGTGCTATCTTGGGTAGGTATAATATACTGATTATTAAATACAGATACGCAATGGAGTGTCTTCAAAAATATTAATAAAATGTGAACATTGGGATCTGATAGAAATGGTTACAAATATTATCTAGAAGGTATATTGCTGAATTATTACAGTATTAATGAGTAATTTTAGTAGAAATTAGTTTTTCACAAGTATAATACATAACACCATCTAGAAAGTATTAAATTACAAGTGACCGATTTAGGGTCAAATCCTGAAAAATTTGGAATACCTGTATGGCTTCAGGTGACTTATTAAACATTGATTACTAATACAACTACAAGCAGAATGTAGCCACTGGTCTAATAAGGTTTCTAAGGAGCAAAGTTCCAGATTACCCCATAAATAGTTAAAGCAGTACAGCACGCTGATGTGTCACCTGCCAGCTCGACGAGCGGAATACAGAGCAACAGCCACTTTTTGCCTGAAACAAATTGTACTTTATTTCCTCCACCGAATCAAGACTCTTAAATTTTGTGAGCTGAACTCTGCACACACAGCTGAGCACTGGTAGGTGCAAGTATTTTTTTTTTTTTTTTTATTAAAAGCATTACTAAGCATAAAAAAAAGCATAAAGTAATTACTTTCTAATTTGTTTTTTTTTCCTCTTCCAACATTTCTGGGAGATTCTAGCCGCTTCTGAATGCAAGGGAGCAGCATCCTGCGCTAGCAGGGGCGTAGGGTGGGTGGCCAGTAAGTGCTTCCCCTCAAAATAATAATAATTCCTACTTCCTGGCCTGCACCGCCCTTGCTATTTTAGTCCCCAGACTTTTCTCAGGCAAGGACTCCCAGTCAGATGGTGGTGGAGCAAGACCTTGATCTTTTCTAGCACCCTTTTCTGAGCGACTTCTGGGTAAAATCTGGCATATGTTTAGTAAAAGAGCTTGCAGTGCCCATTAGTGACCCCTTCACAGTTGCTTCTGGTTAGCCACAGGGGAAGGCAAAGGAAGGGGAGACTTGGGGCCAGCCAGGGTGCAGCGGGGAGCAGTCGAGCCTGATGACGACCCTGCCGGCCCGACCCCGCTGGAGCCAGGGACAGGGTCAGGCCTTTTTTTTCCACTCTGCTGCAGGTCCCTCAAATCTTTTCACCTGGCAACGTTTTCCCACGTCTGGATTTCAGTCAGCTTAAGGGGAATGCATAGTCTTCTAATTATTTGTCTTTAAAAAAATTAAATTGAAGCCCAGAAATGAGTTTTCTCTATAGAGCAACAGTAGGTAAGTTTATATACAAAGGGATTGTTTCCTGAGGCCTCAAAACACTAAAATACATTTCTACCTTGTACAAATTTACCTAATGGGGTATACAGCTCAACGTTAATGCAGATATTAACAACATTACTTAAATCATCTGATTTTCAAAAATTCATCTGAACTTGTTACACAGCAATTTGCACTTCTATAAAAGTGGAGAAACATCGACAAACGCTCCTACATGGAATTTGGAGAGTTACAGTTTATATCTGGTTTCAGTATGTGGTCTTATTAAAGGAATTGTACACATAATTAAATTCCTGGGAAGATGCAACTTTTTCCCTAATGAGTGACAGGCACAGGAAACTTCAAAGAGGCTGTATCCTCCTCGACCACAAATCCAGACTTACCACTGTCAAGTCAGTTAACAAATGCTGGAAAATAACCTTGTAACTTCTAGGTTGTATGCTTCATTCTATATGATGCTAGAATAAAATCTTTACTGTGGTTTGTACAGAGTGATTCACAGTATTTTAATTGTAATTAGTCATCTTAGAAGCTGCTTACTTACTACTACATGCCTTAATAAGACTATATTCTTGAAAAGCCTGGTCTCTTCCACTTTTTTAAAGAACATGATGAAACTGTGTCATCTCGGAACCAAAAAGAGAAGCAGCACTTACTACCTGGTTTATAAAACAGAAGCAGTACTTAGTGCCTGGGGTTTGTAAAGATCACAAAGTCTGAAAAAGAACCTCTTTTCTCCTGCCTTCCTACTTCCTCCTCACCACAGAAAAATAACTTTCACTTTTAACATAATGCTAAGAACTGCTGGAACTGAGAGAACACCCTCAATTCTGTATGCAATTTTACCAGGGCTAATAGGGATGTGATTTTCCTTCATTAGTTTCTTAATAATTAGTTTCTATACAACAACTGTTTGCAAATGTTTTGTATTGATAAATAAGGTCCATTTTAAAAAGTAGGCAATTTTATGCATAAATATAGCAAAGATATTTTGGTATTACAGAATAGTGGTAGCTAAGAGAAGCATTAAGCATAGCACTTCTATTCTCAATTTCAGCTTAGGAATTCATTAGTTACTTGGTAGTGCTTAAGTAATCTCTTTATCAAACTCAGCAACTGAAGTGGCTCCTCTCCAACACTAAGAAAGAAACAAAATAAAACCTATTTTGAGGATACTCTGATGTACAGCTCGTAAGATTCCTATAACTCTGAAAAGCGTAAATGAACGCTATACGATTTTTTCCATGAAAGCGTTTAAAGTGGAGCAGTTTGCAGTGATATGGTTAATTCATTGCTGTTTTTTGTTTTTAACTTGGAACAACGCTGTGCATCACCTGAGGTAAATGGCCGAATGCTTAAAAAAAAAAAAAAAAAAGGATCTCTTTCTGAAAAACAATTTTTTTATTGAGTTTGGTTGATGACAACATCTAATCAGCTACAAGTGACTGTTAGAATACAGCAAGGAACACACACACACTGTCACTATCAATCTTGCAGTATCACTACTGTCTCAACATTTTGTCTCCTTTTTTTCAGCCACAGAACAAAAAGATGCCAAACTATACCAAGAAGTAACTTTTCTCTGTTACTATTTCTGACACATAACGACAGTGTAAGACTTTGACATTGTGTGGAAGACAAAAATCTGCGAAACAAACCCAAGGCTTTGATTACTTTTTTTTGGTCTTATAGTTATTTAATAGGGCATTGAAAAGCTATTGTCATTTAAAAGCCAGTAACAATTTCTGCAAACTCCAGTAAGACTTTGGAGATGTGTATTTCTCAAGAGGAGACACAGTTGAACCTTGGCAAACTCACTAATTCTTTAACAGTCATCAACTTGCCTGTCTTTAGTCACACTTCAATGACTTATTTTGAATAACCGAACCTAAACAGTTTATTTGGTTTTTATATTTTATTTGGTTTTAGGTTAATTTAACATTACCCACAACTACCCTTTAGTAACCCAACTCACACTCTCACACAGTCCAGAACAGAATTCCTTTACCTGCTTATAAAATGTATGATTATTTGTAAAATACTACAAGATAATCTCCATTTCAAAAATAACACGTTGTGGTATTTCAGCTCCACTAGAGAAATGTGTTACAACCACCAGAAATGGACACATCTCCATCAATGGCCAAACACAAAGAGAGGGAGAGACAGAAAGCCTGAACCTGAAATAACCACTATTTTTTCCAATTTTGTTTTTTCTTTTCCTTCTTTTTCATATTTTGCTGCTTTGTAATTGTCGATATATGACAAAAAGCTCCAAGAAATTAAAAAAGGCAAGTGCAGCAGGAATCACATCGCTATACAGACATGAACAGAAACAGTTATTGCTTCTTTTTGGCTACAGCATATGCAGAGTCTAGAGGTCAGCAAAAATCAAGAGATTTTACGTTCTGACAGTCATCTTCTAGGCAACCGTATTGTGGCCATTTATGACATTACACCACAAACAGCTGCTAGAATTCCTCACCATCTGTGGCAGGGGGGAAAATATGTGTTTGCCCTTGAGCCTTTCCAGTCCCCCGTTCTGTGTTAGCATAAAGACACTTTCCCTGGCAGTAGGCGACAGGAACTGGGGCAGAAATTTCTCGCACAGCTGCGGGCAGACAACTGCAACAAGGAACCAGTTGCCTGTGCCCTGGAAGCCCGCTGCTATGTAAGTGGCAACTTTTTATCTGCATAGAGCAGCAAAAAACCTTGCCTGGACCCTGGCAATACCTTCCTAAATGAGAAGTTCACTGAATTGAATGTGATCTTGCTGATGAAATAAGGGGGTTGGGGGGGAAGGATAACAGCACCTACTTCGACAGACACCTAGCTCACCTCAGGGTTTCAGTGTTGCTTAGAGGAATTATTTACAGTATCTGAGCACAGGCTCTCAAAAAGCTCATTCACTCTGGAGATGCTAGATGTTTCATGCTACTGGAATTTTATTTCTCTGCTGTTGGCATCAAAACCTGGCACGCTGACCTTTCATTTGCTTGTGCCTCAAAACCAACCACAAGCAAGTAGCCTAGGCAGAACAAGGGAAGCAAGAGGGGAAGCACATATTTTTTTCAGTTCAGGTTGCCTTCCTAAATGGTTTCTAACGTGTATTTTGATTTAGTGAAATAAAAGGGAAAAAATTGCAAGAAAAAGGCTAACGGAGTCTGGTCTTTCAGGCATGGGCTGAGGAGGAGAGGACTATTAAAAAACAAAACAAAAAAACTCAAACTCAAATACTTTAAATATATTGATCCACTCACCTGATTAACATGTGGGGTAACCACACAGTCTTCCTCTAGCTGCTCAAGATGACTGATAAGAAAGTTGCTTACACCGATTGATCTACATAAACCTAACAAGAGAAACAGAACAAGAAAAAGTTCTAGGACAATCCTAGTTATTTGGGAGGATACCTTGAAGAAATATCACTTTCAAGAAACACAATGACGGCACACATTCATTCTGTATAACAGAAACAAGTTTTAAAAAACCCTGAAATCTAGTTTGACAGCATTATCTGAAAGCATGGTTCCGTCAGTCACACTAGGAAACCATTTTATAATCTAAACGTACTGGAAGCTCCCTAGTGTATAAAAACTCTACACTAAATTCTGGGAAAGGCTAATGTAATGTAAGCAAAGAACAATTGGACTTCACCAGAATGAAAAGAAGGAAATGGTGCTCTGAGTAGCTTGCCAAAACTAAAGAAAAGTGGAACATTTGCAGAAGACCAATAAGGTGTGAGTAACAAACACAAGGACATGCAGTCCAAATGAACTATACAACCCTGCTTATATTTCTATTAGATTGTTACTATTACAAAGATGTTACATAAAACTCAGTAAAAAAGTTAGAATTAAATAAGCACAATCCAACAAGAATCGAGAAACTGAAACTGTAGGAAGAAGAATCTACGTTAGAACTGCTAGATTTCTTAGCTCCTGTTGACATGTAAGTGAAAACAAAACTGCACATAGATGACATTAGGGTTATTTTTAAAATAAACTGTAAGCACGTATGCATGCATATCAACTAAGTGCTGACAGCCCTGAAATCGGATGTCTTCTTTTGACTCTCAGATATGATAAAGCACACTTCCCAATACTGGCCTGCTACCACACACTAAGTCTGACTACTCTTCAGTAGTTTGGTCCTTATTCTGCGCTAAGACTGTTAATACGGAAACCAACTGTGGTCAGGCTAGTGTCTCTTTGGGCTGTGGATTCTGTGGACTGCGAATCAGACTTGTTTCTTAAGTCTGTGAACTTTGTCTTCATTGATTTGATCTGGATTTCAATCAGTAACTCTCCAGATGGAAAGTCTATCTCAGGTTGTGTAAACACAGGAGTCCCATCATTGCATTTAATTCAACATTTCTCCAGGCCAATTCTATACAATGTACGTGCATGCCCTCATCTATGTAAACGCATACAAATATCTATAATAAAAAAGAAAGGAATTAAGCTGGAAGTTATACTGTTTACTTTTTTGGGAAAAAAAAAAAAAGACATTGGGTAATTGCAGACATCTGATGTCAAATAAACTGTGTTTGAACCAACTCTGCCTGCATCCCACAGTTAGAAACACCACTGTCTTGAGGTCAGTGGGGAACTCTGCGGAGCTGCCTTGAAACTGAACCTCAGATAGAGGCTCACACAAAGCACTCATTAATGCAACTGGCACATACGAATACACCAAAAGGAAAAATTTACCCTGATCTAGAATAAAGCTGATGGAAGTGCTGGAGGGAAACGCACTAAGCATGTACTTATTTTTAAAATGCATATACTTTTATACAAAAAAATAATTCATAAGTAGACTATAAATTGGCATTTAAATGAAAAATGAACTACCGGATTACACAATATCTTGAATTTGCAGGTTAGATCTAGCTGGACAAAATAAAGAAATTTAATTGTTCTAGTCTTCTCCATTTAAATTCCAAAAGTGAAGTTACAGTTTACTTATAGTTATTCTAACCACATTGTTAAAGCCCTGAAAACAAGTTTTGTATTTGAAAAGCCACTAACCATATAAATATAGGCAACTCTACTATTATGTTGCTTTTACGTATTTTGGCAGCACAAGTAGTTAAGTCTGTAAAAGCTGCATGCCTGCTATCACTTTTCAATGTGGTTTCTTTTGTGAAATACAAAGATAAAAAATACGTTAACAAGTAAAATACTAGATAGCTTTCACTTACAGATACGATCACTGCTCAAGATATAACATAATCAGGTTATAACCTGCACTGCAGCAATTTGCATAATTTGTATTTAATCGGTTAGAAGGAGTAAAACACGTGCTTTTGACTTCTGCTGACAAACAATCCTGGAGTGTCAACACTAATAAATCATTATGCTAAAGAAATTGGAAAAACATTTTCAGTTTTAACACAATGGTGAACCAAAATATTGCACACGATTTTTGAGAGCTATGGAGTTACAAAAAATAGGCTGTTACTGCCCTTGAAAAACAAAGCTTTTACTTCAGACTAAAACATGACAAAACCTAATCACAGAAGTGAAAGCTGAAAAGAGCTTATCGGGCTTCTTGTCCATTCCCACAAAAAGCTAGCAATTTTCTTCCCTACAGAACACACCACGTCCTGCTTTTTACCTACTTCTAGAAGAAGTCTGTAACTTTACTGGGAATGTTGTTCCATGGTCTCATTGCATTCACTGTTAAGTTTGTCAGAGCTCCTATCAAGGAATTTCAGCTCAGTTATGCTTTCTCTTAAAAGTCATCTGAGACACCGCTACTAACACCAATATCAAGGCACTACTGTATTTAGAGCAATATTGTACAGAGAAGGCTCAATTCAAACTGGCCAAGAAAGTAAAAATATTCCCAGGGAATAAATAATAATAATAATAAACGTTTTTGTGGAAACAGCATTTTTTTTTTATCACTTTCTAAAATGGAAGGTGATAGAAATATTTCAATTTCATTAAATCCACATATTTAGTTTTGCTAAAGTTAGAACCCTTCATTTCAACTTCATTGGTTTGCTTTTGGTTAAAAGTCTAATACATAAAAGGTATATTGTAATTTAATACAAGAGTCAAAACAAAACACAATAAATAGGAAAACAGCTACACAGTCTGACTATTAAAACTCTTATTCTAACAAACATTGGTGACATGAATTTGAAACACTGGAATTTCCTGAAAAATTAAGAGTCCAAATTTCAACCGATGATCAAAGGATTCTCTTTCAGAGATGGCAAGAAGTGCTTTCATCTGCTTAACTGAAGATTAATCCATTTGCCCTAAACTGCCCAAATCTGGAAAAGACCGCCTTACTCAGGAGATTAGGTAGAATTATTGCCAAGTTTACGTCTGCTGGATTAATTCCTACGAATAAAGAATCAGATAGAAAATGACTGACAGGAAAATGAAGGACTGACTAGCCCCTGGGCCTCATCTGTCAGACCTAACACTTATAACTGTGTACATCAAACAAGATACACCAAATTACCACATCAACAGTAGAAATAAAAAAAAGAAATACATACTGAGGAACCCAACGCGTTTAATAGTCATCAGTTCTTCTAGTACCACAAAATATTTAAAGCCATATCACAGCCTTCATCATGTTTAATTGCTGTTCTGTGTGCAGGCATCACAAAAATGCCCAGGTTTGGAATAAGCAGCTGAAGATTCCTCTCACTGAAGGGAATACTCACATACTACAACAGGTGCTCTGTCAACCTCTCCGTAGACAGAAACAATGCCCTGATAAGACACAGAGCAGAAGGTAAGGAGGGTCAGAGTGCACTTTATATCAGTTAAGCTTTTCTGGTGTAAAGGCTTTTATCAGCATAAACTCAAAAATTCTCAGACTAGTCTAACTTGCATTAGGGACTAATTTTTCCTCTGGGTGAACTAGAAAAGATGAAGAAACAGGATTAGTTTACCTCAGGACAACACATGTGTGATAAGAACATTTTTGCACCTCTCCCCCAATAAGTTTAGTTTTGCCGCAATTGGAGATTAAAGGTTCATAAATTACGTTACATCTACTTACATAATATCAATATTTAAGCTCTGTCTACTACTTCAGAACTTCTTGTAACACTTGCACTTAAAACAATAGAACGTGTCTGTATTCTTGTCCATCTAAAAAAACAGCCTCAGAGCAAACTTGCTTGAAAGGTTCCCCCTCATTTGCCTTGAAACAGCTGTGGTAGTGAGATAAGGGCTCAGTAGGGGCATGTTTCTTGCCTCTCTCAGGGACCTCTGACATGGTTCAGCTGCCCAGAGTTTGGGTCATGGATCTCAGATCCTTAGAACTCTCTTGAAATGGGAAAAAGGTGGTGTTTATTTTCAATTTAATACCAGTTTAGTGAGCTTTAAAATCTAATTTCAGACAATTCAGGCACAATTCATGTCTTAGCTGTTATGGCAGCAGACAGTTTTAAAATCTGCACTTCCTTTGACTTCACCAATTTAGCAAGTCCTGAAGTTCAAGTCCCCCCGAATCAAACATTTTACAAAGTGCTAGGTAAGATGCCTCTAAAAGTACACTTTTAAAATATACTTGTATAATACCTTATTTACAGAGTCACAGAGCTTTGACTCAGGGAGAAAAAGTATCCTCCTTCCTTACTTGAGGAAATGAGTGGTTTGGACCATATGAAGTAGACTTTGAGAAAGTGCCAGGTGCAATAAATAGTTTGCAACTCCCCATTAGCTCCTAAGGCTTACTGAAGATTTGCCCTATTCCTTGAGACTCCGACTTCAGAGGCTTAAAAGAAAATTGGGCAGTAATGCTTCTGGTTGGCATGTTAAAAATTGACTAACCAGTCCACAATGGTGAACAGGAATTTTCATCCAGCCTTGAAAAACTGTCATGAAACTATGCAAGACAAATTTGAAAGCATATGATAACTCAACGATAATTAAAGAATGAATTAATATCTTTCTTATTACACACACAATCATCTTGGCCTCCAGCATACAGGTGAGTAATTTCACCCGACTCTTATTACCCCCAGCTGCTGTGAAGCAATACCTCAAGCTAACAGACTGGATCACAATGCAGCAGTATTATTAAGCTTAACATACTTTTTATAGCAACCTAGAGAATGATTAGTTATTTCTTCCTTTACTTAATATACTCTCAAATTATAGAGTTTGATGGGCACTGTTTTCTTGCCACAATAAAGCATAAATATACTGTCCTGGCACCACAACATTGTTTTAGCACAATAGTGAGCCTTATCTTTCTCAAGCACTACTATGGACTTTTATCAGACTTCTAAAGACTTTCTGGAATATTAACTATACAAAGTTCAGATCAAAAAAATTTTTTTTTAGATGACAAAACTGGATACTGGGTTTGTGGAGC